CACTTTCATAGTAGACTGTGCATATCGCTTAAGAATTGAGAAAATGTATAATAATATGTTTGCGTCCTAAATTCAAAAAAAAAAACGTTTGATAAGTCGTTTCAGTTTGACTTTCTTAATGAACTCCAATTTAAGAGCTCATCTCGAGGCAGAAGCAACTGCAACACGCTCGCTTTTTCGGAATTTCCTGATGCATGGTTTCCACTGGCTAGTTTATCTATTTTCTTCACGGACTGTTCGGGACACACAATGTGGATTCAAGCTGTTCACCAGAGCGGCAGCCGCCAGGGTTTGTTTGCTGTTCTTCGCTTTTTTCAATCATCAGTTTGTTGTCAGATGCTTGGGGAATCTATTTTCTTTGTTTACCTGTAGGTATTTCCTGTGCTCCACGTTGAACGATGGGCTTTTGATGTTGAACTCATCTATCTATGTGAACTTTGGATGATACCCATAGTGGAGGTAAAGTATTTGTTGTGCTCTTCTGGCTTGCTTTCTCCACAACAAAAGCTTAAATCTGTGGATATTTCAGATTTCTGTGACCTGGCACGAGGTGGAGGGCTCCAAAATAGTTCCAGTTATATCATGGTTACAGATGGGAAGAGATTTGATTCTCATCTGGTTTCGGTATCGTTTCGGGATTTGGACGGACACCGTCCAAGAGTGATAAAGTTAGGCTATTCTTCAACGCTGACTGTGATATTGGTTCTGCTGGTATTCTTAATTCCTACTCCTTTTCACTTTGATGCGCTCTCTATGCCAAAAGTTTTAATTTTATCTGTTCTCTAATTGAGCAACATCTTCTCTTCTGAATATTTCATGTTGTCATTAGGTTTATTTTGGACGTTTTTCTTGAGATATTTGTTTGAATTTTTCCATTTATTGTTATTTCTAGCTTTATCGATTGAGTTACTTTTTGGGGTCATGATTTTGAGCATGTTGTTATCGATAAAAACTAGTCACTATGAGCTAGTATTGCGCACAATGCTTGTTAACGCTGGCACTACTTTCATCGAAATCTATCGCTGCTAATTGTCCAAGAAAGGGTGTGAAAGGAGAGCGCATTAGAGGTGGTTTTCAGATGGGAGGTAAACGTGTAGCAAGGACTAAGTCGGAACCTATGGATGCTGAAAGTTACCATGTTAATGAAATCAAGATGGAAGAGGAGAGGGTTCTAAACGTGAGTTGTACTCGCATTATATCATATTCTCGTAACATCTCGCAACAATTCCAGACTTACGATGATGACTTAGGACTACGCACAGGTGCAAGCAGGACCCTTCGATGTTAACCAGTTATTGCAAGCGTATTGAGGTAACTCTGTTGAACTAAGTTACTTTTTTTTAAGCAAATTTTTGGCCTTATTTTTTAGGTGCAAGTTGTGAATGATTTGGAAGATGGCATGTCGCTGGACTTCGATCTTATCAATGTTGAAGCTCCCATAGCAAATGCTTTGAGAAGGGTCTTGTTAGCAGAGGTACACTTACAGCTTCTGCTCCTAATCT